TGTCCCAGGACTGCTTTTGATTTTCTGGGTCTCTTCTGTTTCATATAAATTTTAGGATTGTTTTCTCCAGTTATGCAAATAATGCTCTTAATATCATCATTGGGATTGCCTTAAATCTATATGTCAGTTTTGGTATGATTTTGACTATCCAGGTTCTTCATATCCAGGAACCAAGACATCTTTCCATTTTCTAATGGCCTCTTCGATTTCCTTTTTCAGAACAGTGGAATAGTGTAGAGGCCTCTCGGTGTCATGTAGAGTGTAGTGTAGCGCAGTGTGCTGTAGAGGTCCCTTTTTACCGTAGAGGTCTTTACTTCTTAGTTGGATTAATACCTAAGTATTTCCCATTTCTTGGTGCTATTATGAATGATATTTTTTCCTAATTTCTTTCTCAGTAGGCTCATCATTAGTGTACAAGAATATTATTGATTTTGTGGGGGGTTTGTATCCTGCTACATTACTGAATTTGCTTATTAATTCCAAGAGCCTTTTGGTGGATTTGAGGAGTCATCTAAGTTTAGGATCATTTCATCTGTAAATAATGATACTTTGACTTCCTGCTTTCTTATGCGTGTCCTTTTTGTTTCTTTTTCTTATTAATTGCTCTTGCTAATATTTTTAGTCCCACACTGAACAGGAATGGTGATAGTGGACATCTTTGTCTTGTTCCTGATTTTAGAGGAAAAGCTTTCTGATTTTTCCCATTTAATGTGTTGGCCATTGGTTTGTCATAACTGGCTTTTACCAAATTGAGATTGGGTCCTTCTATTCATATTTTCTTCATGTTTTTATTATGAAAGGTTGTTTTCGTCAGAGGCTTTTTCTCTACCTATTAGAAATCAGTATGAAAATTCCTCAAAAAAATAAAACTAAAAGTTCAACTTGACCCAACTATGTGCCTTCCAGTTATCTTCTCGGAAGAGTTAAAGTCATAATATTAAAGGAGAACTTGTGTATCCATGTTTATTGTTTATTCAAGCCGCAGTAGCCAAATCTCGGGAGCAGCCTCATTAACAGCTGAGTGGAGAGAGAAAATGTGGTGTTTACTCACAATGGAGTATCAGTCTGCCATAAAGAAGGACAAACTTGAGTCAGCCGTAGGTAAATGTCTGCACTTTCGGGCCATAGCGCTAAGTGAAATAAATCAGACACGCAGCCTAAATATCGCATGGTTTCATTTATATGAGAGGCCCAAGTTATAAATAGGCAGCAAAATAAAAGAGATAATAGAAAGAAGGGAGACAGAACTTTCTCAAAGGTGGGAGAATCAAGAGATGGGGAGCAGGGGGAGGGGAGGGAAGGGGAGGAGAAAAGGGAGAAAAAAATAATTCGGAGAACAGTATCTTATTAGATTTCTTTTCCTTTGCTTGCTTTCTTCTCATTTCTTTTTTTTTTCTAATTTTTCAATTATATTTTTTAATAATTTGCAAGGACTGGTACCATAAAAGGCTTTATAATTTTTTTCACTATAATAGTAGTTTATTTTTTTATTTTATTGAGAAACAAATAGCAATGAGACAGTTTCAAGACTGGTTAATAGGACAGTTTCAATAATTAATACATTGTACATTGTTATCTTCTCAGTGGTTATCCATAGTATTTCTCATTTCTTTTTCCTGCCCCTTCCTCCTTTATGCCTGTCCCTTCCCTCCTCCTTTGCTTCGTTTACTTTTTCCACTGGTAGCTGACAGCACATGGCATGGGCTCGAGAGGAGAAGACAGAATAGTCCTAGGGGTCTGAGGGAGCGGCCCCTGGCCCTTGCTTTCTTCCTCCCTGGCTCTGGCCCCATTTGAGACTCAGTTTCCCTCTGAGAACCAAAGGGACAATAACAGGACCTACCTGCTAAGGTTCCTGAGACAGTAGATGACCTACTCACATGGAGAATGCTGTGCCTTCACCCAAGTCAGAGCTGCTGAGGCCGCAGCGTGCAGCTCTGTGGTCACACTGCTTGGTTCCAGTCCTGGCCCCAACTACCAGCGTGTGTCCCAGGCACTCGTTTCTCTGTGCCTCAGTTTCCTCGTGTGCACAATAAGGCTAACAGTAGGCTCCTTCTTCATAGTCTTTGACAGGATTTCATGAGATGATCCCTAGAAGGTAAAGTGTTTGGCATATCAATAGTAAACAATTAATAATAGCTCTTGGGGCTGCTGCTTATATTACTGCTGGTGGTGGAAATGGGAAAGGAATAAGAAAGATGCTGGGGGGGTCAGGTGTGCAAAAGAATAGTGGCTGCATGGCGGAGTAAGTGGGAAAGAAGGATTCCAAGTAGGAAGGATCAGGCGTAATTCCTGGAGAGAAGGATAGCGACAGCTCCGCCAAGACGGGCCCCGCACAGGAAGTTCATAGGAGCTCACCGGATAGACACAGGTAAAGCCTCCTCAGGAACCACTTCATTTTCCTCCTCCTCCCAAATGTATTCACGCATCTCATCTCAAATCCAAATATCTCTGGCATGTTCTCAGAGCTGTCTGTAGGCTGGTCTAACCCTAACTATAGCTATTTAACTCGATTTTCTGATGTTCTGATCCCTTAAACCTCTCAACAGTCAGATGTCCCTCTACGGTCCCTTGGGATGACCTTCTTACCTTTAACCCAAGGTTCGTGTATTGTTGGATCCTTTCCCCTTTAGGGCCCACCCACATCCAGATCCCTTCAGATCGAAGTCAAGAGCTCCACCTGCTCTCAGGAGGCCCAATTCCATGCACTGCATCTCCTCCTCCACCAGGCACCGCAGCCCTCTGTATCTGGCTCTTCATCGGGGACCATCCTTCCCCCATGCAGCAGACTCCTCGCCCACCCCTCCCAGCCTCTGATCTTCCCATCCTGCCCATTTCTCCCCCACGGTGACCCAGTCCCTCCGCTCCCAGCCACCCCTGGAGCTCCTCCACCAGCCCTGGCCTCTCTTTCACCCCACTCACTAGTGCCTCCCGAAGGTTAATGAGGACTCCAGAGATGGAGAGCAGGGTTTCCGTTCACTGTCTACTCATTGGGATCTTCTAGATTTTGTATCACATGCATGGATTATTCATTTATTTCAAAAAATGAAAGAAATTAAAAATAAAAGAGAAACTGACACAAGGGCTATATTCCTTACCTACTTTCTCTCATCTAATGGAGACCTTTGAGACTCTCCCCACTGGAGTCCAGGCCCTCCTGGCTCTGCCATCAGTGCCCCTCTCCAGGACCAGACTGCGGGCTCCCTGGCCTCTCGGGGTGCACACATACTTCCCTGTGGGTATGTGTGGAAGAAGGCATCCAGCAATGACAATCCTGAGTACAGTCCCTTTTGTTTATGAGTCCTGTGGCCTACATTTTACATTCTTGAGAAACAGGAGGAAGCATTCATAACTGCTTAGAAAAGGCAAAAGAAATTCGTGTCTCTGTGCATCCTTGTGTCCTCTTATGGGGCCCAGTGCAGCTAGGACTCGGGTCCCATAGGGCAGGAGGCCTCATGGTTGCTGGCCTTGATAGGAAACCAAGGAGGCTCATCTGAGCCCCTCTGACCTGACTGCCCCTGGAGGTCACAATTCCTGTTTCTTTGGGTTGCAAGGAGCCCCAAGAGTCTAGAGGTGGTTACAGTTCCTGCAGCATTAGCATAATTTAAGCACACCCTGCCTGCCTGACCGCTGCCTCGTTTCCCCCATTGTTTCCTGGCCTCACAGGCAGGGTGCTGGTGTGTGCTGTGTGGCTAAGGGACCCCTTCCTGCACCCAAACAAAGCCCAGGTTTTCCAGGCCGGACGTCCACAGCCCAGCCACGCCAGAGCCCCAGGGCTACCCCCAACCCATGTCAGTGACCAGAGAAAACAAGGAATGAGACTGCCCACAAGGGCACACAAGGAACCACAAGACGAGAGGGGAAAGAGTACTAGGACCTGGTAGGTAGGAGGTGGGACGTGGGCCTGGCGGGTAAAAATCCCAGCTCAGAGGGGAAGAATCTGGAGAAAATGGGCTTGGAATAACAGGCCTCTCCTCTGCCTGTCAGTTTTTTTGCAACTGTCAGTTTATCACCTATTTCCTCAGAGTTGCCATCTGACATTTATCAATCGAATGTCAGGTGACAGCCCCTGAGCCATTGATGAGAAATTAGCCCGGCACGCAGGGTCGCTTGCACCCAATGAGGGAGTTTGAATTGGCTCTTCAACTTTTAAACACGATATTGTTTCTCCACCATTCAAAGCTCTGAATAAATTCTCTTGGACGAGCAAAAGTATTGTCTCCCATGGAAACGCCACTGGACTTGGAGGTGCAAGGAGGGGCCCCTGGTCTTGAACTCCGATCACCACACAGTGCACCTGGGGAGCTGCAGGTTCACACAGTGCACCTGGGGAGCTGCAGGTTCACACAGTGCACCTGGGGAGCTGCGGGTTCCAAAGGGAGGAGCAGGCTTCTTCCTAGAAGGCTTCTCTACCCACGGCTTCCTTCCTAAGGCAAGAAATTTCAAATTAGTGTTTGTTTTCTTTCACAATCAAGGGCTTTGCATTTTCAAGCGAAGTGCCTTCTACCAGGAGGAATGTTATAATCCAATTCAAGGGGATTTCAGCTCATGAAAGAGGATTAGGAGCCATTGGGTAGATGACAAGTGGCAGCATATTTGCTATCAAGAGCCTCTTAAGATTGTTTTCCCCTGTCTGGGAGTTCTGCTCTCTTTGCAGTAAGATACTCAGAAGAAACACATTAGAGGCTCAGACAGCTTCTCTCCCGAGCTCTCCTGCACTCTGCCTAGGGATTTGCCGATCACTGAAAAACAAAATGAAAAAGACCATCTCGCCTTTTCCTCCTTTGAGACTTCGAGGCAGAACAAAAATATCTGGAAAATGAAGACCCAAATTATAACCAACACACAGGCTCCTGGGCACAGGTGGCAAGAGTGAACAGGTGTGGATTTAATCTGTCCTGATGCTGCATCTCCACTATCCGGCCACCACACTCCAGCAAAGGGTGAGGCTGAGAGCAGGCCCTGGCCCCAGCTCCCACGTCTCCAGCCCGGCTGCTCAATAGGAGCTGTGGAACACGGGTCAGAGACAAGGGCCACTGGAACCTGAGCAGACGGAGCCTGGCTCTGTGGCAGCCATCTGCCACCAGGCTCGGGGCCCTGTGGCCTTCTGGGTGATGTGTAAGCTGGGAGGGGAGGACAGGTGAGTAGAAAGCCTCCCCTCTGACTGGCAGGACAGAAGAGGACCAGTTGTTCCTCTCTTGGCAGAGCAGTACCTAAGAACAGAACACAGTGAGCCCCTTCTGGGCCCCGGCTGGTTCTTGTTCTTCCCAGCAGGGGACACCTCTCCCTACCACCTACCTTCCACCTGTCAAAGGAAGAGGCTCCGGAGGACTTACCCGGCCTTTATCAAGACTGAGGCAGAGATAGTACAGGGAGAGCCGACCCTAGGTGTCTGCTAAATACGACTCATGAGGCATGTGGCATGTAGGATTGGTCGTGCCATGCCTAATTTGCCCACCTCAGGGCTGCTTTGATTTTACCTTATGGTTTCTAACTCCTGTGTTGGAATTGAGAGGAGACGGAGCCTTCCTCCTGGCTTTTTGCATCTTCTAAGTAAGGCTTTTGTCTTCATAGGGAGAAAGACCATCATCCGGGCAATAACCTCAGGTGCGCAGCTTCATAGGAGCCACTCGTCCTCACGATTAGGCTACTTTTCTGAACCCCGAGAGCCAGGCCAACTGTTTCAAAACTGTGCTGCTTCGGGGGTTAGGCGACACATTTGCGTTTTGTTCCTCAATGCCTGGCATCCTCTCTCTCTGGCCCCTTCACCCTAACTCCATATGGGCTCTGAGTCTCGGGGTGACCCACTCCCCCCTCTGGGTGTCAACCAGGACCCCAGAGTCCCCCTCTTCTTATGCAGAAATTATCAAATATACCACCCCCCTGCCTGAAGCTGAGGTGGAGAACGTCCCCGCGGTACCCGTAGAATGAGTGCATTTTTATTTAATGTTTTCCTCCCTTGTGCATTTCCACCCACGCATTTTGTAAAGAGCAGTTTTTAAAGTGTTTTTCTATTGAGACGCTTTGCTTCGTTTCTCCCTCTTCCCTTTTCCTGTCTTTTTGGTTTACTTGTTTGACTCGGTTTGGTTCTTTCTAATGCCAGTATTCACCCCAGCTACCGGTGCGGATGTGATTGGGACAGTTCCGTGGTTACAGTTACATTTACATTGTTACTCAGGCCAATGAAGAGTTCAAATAAAGAAGCGACTGTTTTCACCCGTTCATTCTGGCGTATTCACCGAGCAGTGCCTCTCTTCAGGCTGTTCTGCTCCACACGAGGGGAGGGATTCTGAGCTCAGATTCAAGGAGGGAATCCATCCCATCTGTGGGCCCCCGAAATGATGGACAACGCTGTGTATGCGTGTGGACACAGCGAAGACCTCAGGGAGAGAAAATCCGCAGCTCCTATCAGATTCCCCAAGGCATCCAGAATGGAAGAAACCTGGAGCCGGGAAGCCAGGAGGGTTGAGGAGGAAACGAGTGATCAAATCTCAGAGGCGCAGTTTCTTCCTGTCTGCCTTGATTGACTGATTGTTCTGTCTTTTTCTTCACATTCAATGTCAGGAAATCCTACCAGCTCTACCTGGAAAATACACCACAGATTCAACCCCCACTCGCTGCGCCACAGCCTCCCCCAGGCCCACGCGTCCTCTCAGCTTGGAATCCACGCCCACCCTTTTCCCTCCACTCTATTCTCAGTCCCACCCCCGCCAGAGGCTTCTAAAGGATGAAGAGGGTTGTTCCCCTTCTCCGGTCAAGTGCTTCCAGCTCCTGCAGAACAAACCCGAAGCCTGTTTATGCTCCAGCAGGCCCAGTGTGCTCTGCCCCTCGACTCCTCCTCTGACCTCGTCCGAGTCCCTCTTCCCATTCAGGGTTCCTCCTGGTATTGCTCAGATATCCAGCATCAATGGCGCAGGGCATTTGCGCTCCACCTCCTCTGTCCACGGCCCTGTCCTCTAGTCAACCCAGCCTATCCCTACATCATTCAAATCTGTCCCACTGTCACTCAGCTAACAATCTTCTTTTCTTTTGGCACTTACATTCCATTATGCATTCGCCTGCATCTCATCTCTACCCGAATGCACACAGGGCTGGAAGGGCCCGGGAAGAGGAGACTGTGGCTCCTCGCTCTGTAACTCCCAGGAAAGCACTGGCATACAGCAGGGGTTCAATAGGCATTTACTGAATGAATAAATGAATGAACCTCACATGAGTACAGAGGCAGTGAGGTAAGGGAAGAAAGCTTTATCTACAGAGTGCTACAGAAGCTCATGGAAGAAGATGGTACTTACACTATGGGATAGGAAAGAGGGGAGCTTGGTGGGTGGGGGAAGCTTATGGAAGGGGCCACCACCCATCCTGGGGGTGAAGGGAAGAGTGGAAAGGGAGTCCCGAGGGGTTGCATAGGCTTAGAAATGGGGTGCAGGGAGCTGTGAAGCGCAGGAAAGCAAGGCCAGCTGGGAGCCATAACTACCTCAGTGTCCCTGGGACACTGACCCAGGGAGGAATTCAAGGAGAGTCAGGAAATGGAGCGGAGCAGTACGCGAGGACTAGAGAGCGAGGGCTTGATGCATCCTGCTGAGCAGTCTGGGGCTCCTCCTGGAACTGGTGGGGAGGTGAAGAAAGATTTTTCAGCGGTGTGCAACTCTGTACAAAAACTGCAGTGCGGCTACAGGCAGAAGGGCTTCAGCCTGAGAGTCCCGGGCAGGAGCAGCGCAGGGACACAGCGCAGGCTCAGGGGGAGACTCGGAGGCTGAGCCGAAGAATGGCGCTGGGAGGATGGGATCAGAGCTGGAGCAACAAGACCCTGGGGACAGCGCAGGTGGCAGATGAGAGAGAGGGGGCCTGGGTGCCCTGAAGGCTCTGCTCGCAAACTCGGGGCCCCAGGGTTCCCAGCCCTGGTCGGAGACTACGGAAGGATCACTAAGCAGCCCTGCGCTCCTTCTCTCCACAGAGTTTGGCCTCAGACTCTGGCAACGCACTGTCCCACGCAGCCACCACGCATTGTGTTTTTGGGTTTTGGAGGATGCTGATGTTGGAACCTCAGGTCTTTCACACCCTAGACAAGGGTTGTGCCAGTGAGCTACATCCCAGCCCTGATTGGCTATGATTTGAAGTATTTATTACCCCCGATGCAAGTCTTCTAGCTCGAATGGCTACGTGATGCTTTTGTGAATTGAAATGGTATAGAAATAGGAGAGGGTTTTGGTATGGACCATTCTAGTTACACTCGACCACATGAGATGTAGACATGGGGGACCCAGATGGAAACGTTAGCCTGGAGGAAGACAGGAGAGAGGACAGCTAAAGGAATCCCGCACAGGTTTGCCTCAGCTGGCCCCCCACCCTTTGCATATGCTTCCACCCAAGGACTGACAGACAACCCGGACCTGCAGCCTCCAGCCCTCGGGGCCTCTGATGTCTGGGATATGCTGTTTGAATATGGCCAGTCCTGAAACACGTTGGAGTTTAACCCCCATCATAGGATTAGGAGGATGGAAACATAATCCATCTATGATGCTCAGAAGTCGGGCCTTCAGGAAGTGGTTAGGAGTAGATGAACTTCCTCCCTCAGGCTGGACACCCCTGTGAGCCAGTCTTGGTGGCTTTAAAAGATGAGGGAGAGAGATTCAAAGACCCACTTGTCCCTGTCTCCACTTGAGGCCCTTCTCAGTTTTGAGACTGCCAGCAAGCAAGCCATCATCACCAGATGTTCCGGTTGCCTGGTAAGTTGTCTGTCTCACCAGGTGGAGCTGCCGCACACCTCCTGCCTGGGACCCTGTGCTTCAAGCAGAGGCCCCTAGGCCAGCTAAGATCGCATATCCAGACCAGGGTCAGCCCAGTGACTTTGTCACCCATGGTCCAGAAAGCCATGATAGTAATTCACCTCCTATGCTTGAGTATCAACCTGACATGCATGGGGAATAGGGGGAGAGAAAAAGAGGGCAAGGGAGGGAGGGAAGGAGGGAGAGGGAGGAGGGAAGGAGGGAGAGGGAGGGAGAGAAAGGGAGAGGGAGGGAGGGAAAGAGGGAGAGGGAGGGAGGAAAGGAGGAAGAGGGAGGGAGAAGGACAGGGAGAGAGAAAGAGGGAGAGGAAGAGGGAGTGAAGGACAGAGAGGGAGGGAGGGAAGAAGGAATAGGGAGGGAGATGGAGAGGGAGGGAGAGAAAGAGGGAGAGGGAGGGAGGAAAGAAGGAGAGGGAGGGAGGAAAGAGGGAGAGGGAGGGAGAAGGACAGGGAGAGAGAAAGAGGGAGAGGAAGAGGAAGGGAGTGAAGGACATGGAGGGAGGGAAGAAGGGATAGGGAGAGAGGGAAAGAGGGAGAGGGACAGAGAGAGGGAAAAAGGGGGGAAAGGGAGAGGGAAAGGGAGGAAAAGGGAGAGGGACAGGGAGGGAGGGAAGGAAGGAGAGACAGAAGGAAAGGGAGAGGGAGAGAGGGGCAGAGGGATGGAGGAAGAAGGGACAGGGAGAGGGACAAGGAGATGGAGATGGAGACACCGAGACAGAGAGACAAAGAGACAGAAAGTCAAAGCCAGGGTGGTTGTTTCTAAGCAAGACCATTCCACAGTGAACCTAGGGTAGGCCTTGGGCAAAAAGAAAATAGCTATAAAAATCCTTCATGGCACAAGTAGAGCATTTGAATACAGATACAAAACGTAAACAATAGCAAAGACTTGAGGTTAGTTTTCTTAGGTAAGAGGAGTTCTGAGTGCGTGGGAGAGTGGTCTGGGTGAAGACATGAAGTTCTTAGGGGTACAGCATCTCACAGTCTCAAAATCAGTTTCAAGCAGTGCAGGACAGATAAGCAGCTAGAACAACAATAGTGTGAATGCGCTGAAATGTTCATTTATTCATTAAACTATGATGAAAGAATTAGAAAGTTGAAGTTTTCATAATGTTGTGAGCTTGCTGACGACATACACTGTTATTAATGTGAATAAGAAGGACAGCAGTGAAGAGGAACTGGGAAGGATTCTGCAGACCAAGGAGAAGGGGACAGTCACACTTCCCAGTGAGATGACTGTCTCTAAAGAGCTCCCTCCTCTTCCGCACCTGCTGTAACACAGTCCCCTCCCAGGAGGAGGTGGGTGTTTTCATGCATTGTCACCGTGGAGAGACCGGAGTGACCGAAGTCAGTTGCCCAATGTCACGTGACACACACGGGACAGAACCAGGGTCAAACCCAGGTCTGCTAACACGAGGCTCTGTGCTTTCTTGACATCACGTTATCATGTGCTTTCTCCTACAGGCAGACCTTGAGACAGGGAATGGAGCACAATGAGTGTATTTTTGAGGCTTAGTCCTGGGGCAGGGGCAGACATCAGAGCCAAGAGGCAGCCCAGCAGGAGTGTGGAGTGACCCAGCTACCACAGTGGAAACCCAAGCACAATTCCCTGGGAAATGCTATAAACTGTGTGCCTCACAATTATCCCACCCAAGGGCTGAGAGAGCTGGAGTATTTATGCTCCAGTTACCAAGAACCATTGGTTGAAGTTGTTCCCAAGAGTGTTAATTCCTGGCCCTTCCAGATTGCAGCAGTTCTGAAAAGAAGTCCTCAGTGACAGAGCAGAGAGAAGGTTGGCACATGCGTACACCCCGGCTCAGCCCCAGCAAGTTCCCAGGTACGACCAGCACACTGACAGTACCTACTATTCCAAAGTCCAGCAGAACTCAACCATGGCTTCTTCATCTTCTTCCTAGCCAAGCACAAGAAGAAGGGATCAACGCAGACTCCAGCCCTGTCCAGGGAGACCTGAGCCCTTCATAGGGTGAGGAAAGATTTAAAGGTGCTTTTCTGTGGCATGCCCCCACCCCCGACCCGCATTAGGTGGAACCGCAGCTGTGGATCACACCCTCAGAAAGGTGGTGGCAGTGGCAGTGGCGGTGGCAGCGGCAGGTCCTGACCTGCCAGGCAGAAACATGCAGGTGCATAC